CTTGATGTATTGTCGACAACTTTGGAGCTCATAATTGAGTTTGGTAAGGATGAAATTGCTTCAAATTAAAAATGTGGGAAGCAATTGAAGATGCAATTAAAAAAATTAAAAGAACATGGACTAAATTGAAATTTGCTAAATCTCAAATTAAAAACCCTGATTTTTAAGGCTTAACTTAAACATCGCATCATTTGGCTATTATATATCTTCTTCTTTAACAGTTTTGGTTGATCAAGTAGACTTCTTTAGAAGAATGAATATAGTGTTTTGACTATCTCAGGATTTATAACCACCATCATTTATCTCAAAAAAACCCTCTTTATAATGACCATATACTATCATCAAACATTTACATTCTATTTTCTCTAATAATCTCAACAACATTTTGTTTCCGATCAACCTCATTATATTTTCAAATTCTAAGTTGATTGAATTGACACTTTTAAAATGAATAAATAGAAAGTTACAAACCTCAAATCAATCAAGGTTGGATCCAAACGAAAGATACGCATCCTCTTTACCAACTTCAAATACCAACTTCAAATGGTAGTAAAAAATGATGATGTTAAAGTTACTTTGATGAGGCTTCGAAACTAGTCAACACAATTAGCCATGATTGCAGTTCTTATTATGCAAAAACCACTTATTTTTTATGTATTCACACTTCAAAACTTCACAAAGGATTCTTATCAATAACTTAAAATCTTCCTCTCGAGATCCAAACGCTAAAAAATCTTATAGTAGTCTCCAAGTTTCGTAAAAACCATCTTTGAATTTGTTACAAAATTACCTTTTCAAAATTGGTCAAAGACAAAGCTTTTAGTTGTTGAGATTTGTCCAATCAGGTTAAAATCATGTTAACTGACTATGGTCTTGTTTGTCTGGTAATATTTTTGCTTAAAGGGTTTTTTTTAGTTTGAGGATGTGTTTGGCAAACAACTTTGTAGGTTTATTTTGACAGTTTTATTAAAAAAAACAAGTTTTTGTCAAATAAAATCCAAAAATAAATAAAAAATATTTTCTTTTCACTTGAATATCGCCAAAAATCTTAAAAAATATTTGAGCATTTTCTTTTAAAAATATAAAATATTCTGGCATGTTTTTTTAAATAACTTTTACAGAGATTTTACAACAAGTTTATAAAATTTCAAAAGATTTTGATTTATATTTTTTTAAACATATTTAAAATTTATTTTCTGCAAGATATATATTATTTACCCTTAATTCAAGGGTAAAAAACATATAAATTGATTAATATCCAAATTATTATTATCACTAATAATTTATTATTGAAAGTGATACAATTCATTTATTTATAATATAAAAATAAAACAAACTACATGAAATTTTATTTGAAATGATACAATAATGATATAATAATTAAGAATCATTTTTCTTTTATGTTGAAAGAAAACTCAATAATATTTATGAATATTTTATCATTTCAAAACAAGTTTTTTATTTAAAAATCAGAATTTATTTATCATGTCATAGCAAACTATATTGATAAAAATAAAAACATCATCGAACCTGTCGCGCTTCTCCACACAATGTTCGATGGCAATTTTCATTTGTTCTTTTGTTCGTTCTTAGAAGTTGATAATTGGTATTTGATTGAAAATTACTAATAAATCTAAAAGTACGGATTTTGTCAGAAATTCTCTGATTATGGCTAAAAAGATATTAGCATACAGATAGACTATTTTACAATTTAATGTAATTTAAAATTTTAAAATATTAATTAAATTTATAAAATTTTAATAAATTAATTCTAAAATTCTAAAATATATGTAAAAATATGTTCGTAAAATACAACATAATTTTATTTTATTAATCCTTAAAATATTTGACCATACATAAATTAAAACACTTAATTTTTTTTCTCATCTTTCTATTTTTTTATTTTTACATTAAAAAAATACATAAAAAAAATACAATCACACACTCTCTAACATCATTTTTTTACTATGCTCAACTCCAGCATCTAACATCACCTTTTTACTATACTCATACTCCAACATCATTTTTACATGTCACAAAATAACAGAACTGCAGGGAAACCTTCTAGAACCACAGAGACTGGTGACGCGTGGATCTCCCGCACAGCCGTCACTGGCAGCGAGTAGGTTCAAGCGCCGCCGAAAAAAGGGCAGGCGACCGGGGAGATCTGCAATGGCTTCGTCCCCTCTTCACTTTCCTCGCCGGCGGTGACAAACCGTTACCTGCAAAAAAAAGAAACACAACAAGATTTTAACTTCCCTAATTCTTTCCTTCTTCCGGTGGCCGATCTGGCGGTTGCAGAGCGAGCTCTGGTTCGGTTTAGCAGAGATGGTGGAAGCTGGAGACTGCGCCTGTTTTGGTCGCTGCAGTTGAGACCGAAGGGGAAACAGACGCTGCTGATGGGGAAGTAGACACTGCTGCTGGCCGGTTGGTTGGAGATCTCTGAAATGGCCGGGGGGCTGTAGTTGGCCAGGAGAGGGAGAGAATCAAAGAGGAGAGTGAGGGGGCTCTCTGGTCTGGTGAGGGACAAGAAGATGGGGCAAAACAGAGAGGGGAGCTGCTGCGTTTGGAGGTTAAAGGGGCTGAGATAGAATGGGGGCTCTCTCTCTTTCTGTTTTGGGTCCAAAGGAAAGGGAAATGAGGGGGGCTCGTTTAAAACATGCAGGGACGGCGACTCTGCTTTGGCTTCAAGAGGGAGAGCGGGTTGGTGGCGGTTTAGGGATGAGAGGATAGGAGTGTTCGGTGTGCAGTGGGGGCCGGTCTGGTTGGTTCTTTCAGGAAAGGGGGGGGGGGGGGG